TTTTCGGTCCCCGGACGCGGGTGGCAGGCCGGAGCCGGCCGCCCGGCGGGTGCCCCGCGGGGAGCTTTAGCTGGGGCGCCGGGGCGCAAGCCGAGCCTTGGGGCGCTCACGCCCGCCTCATAAATCGGGGGCTGCCCGCTCTCTTGGCAGCCTCCCTATTTATCCCCCCTACCACCGAGCGTCCCATGAAGAGTCCGGGATTTCGACCCACCCCACCGCCGGGAGCCTTGAGGGGCTCGATCCTGCTGGCGGTCGCCCTCCACACGCCCACCGCACGAGCCTTCCTCTGTCCCTCGCCTTGACAGCAGGCATCTCCGGGGGTGACTCCGAAATCGACCGGTGACAGCAAGGGGAAGTGGTCTCAGGCTGCGATCCCCTCCCGGATCTGAAGGATGGGCTGAAGGTGGGGGGGTCGGGGGGGTCCCTTGGAGGAAAAACCTGAGGAGGGCTCCGCTGCCAATGGCTTGTCCGGCCTTTCCCTTGAGGGAAGGAAATGCCATTGAATTCAGTGGGCTTCCAGGCCAGTAGGGCGACGGGGTGAGGGGGAAAAGTTTCAGGTTTCCTAGCTCGATGCTGCGCCGCATTCACTTCGAAGGAAGCCTCCCTGCGTTCAATGAGGCCGACTACCAAGGAGGTGGACTGTCCCCTCCCCAGCGGCTCACCTGAATCGTCAATGGCCTTGCCTTCCCCTTCTGCGTTTAGGATTGCAGTATGCCCGAACTACTGGAGTATTTTTAAAAACCACATACAGTACACACACATCATGGTACAATAGCTCCCTCTCCCAAGTTATGTTAAAGCCCCCCCCCCGGGGGGGGAAGAGGAGAGACTTTCTTTTCTGCATTGGGCTCCGTTCCCACGCACAGGTTTCCCAGCGACCTGCCCCGCAACACGCGGATGCCCCTCCAGTTGCCGGGGGCGACCCGCTGAGCAGCTTCTCCCAACCCCAGACCGACATGTCTTCCGAGGAATCGATGGAGCCAGCTTTTGCCGCCCCAATAGGGAGCCGGGGCTGCGGCAGGCGACCCTCCTCTCCGAGCCGTGCCTTTTGCGCTTGGTGGCCAAAAACGCTTCCTCCACGTCCGGAACGCAGCCCTTCCACCCGATCGGGTGGGAAA